TGTCACCAAGTATATATATGTATGTATATATGCACAATCGAATATTATCGAATAAATTCGGATTAAATTTCGATGCATATTTTTATTAATTAAATTAAATACGAATCGAAAAGCGAAATCCGGTTCCAAACTCTAGTTACACTAACTTATTTAAGTTAAGGATCTGGTGAATTATATCTAATTTGATATCGTTATTAACTTTAATTTTTTTTTTTTTATTTGCTAGAAAAATTGACATAAAACGATTCGCAAAATGTCAGGGCTACCGGACAGAAAATCAGCTTGCCTATTTCAAAAAATGTGCGGACCATCATAAGTCTTGGGATTCTATCTGTAACATCTATCGTCTTTCGATTTTTATAGAGCTCATGTGGCCGTATATAAAGAGCTATTCGGACTTGTTGGTTAAAGGATATATTTCTTGGGCTCAATAGCAGGATTCACTTTATCGAATTAAATATGAACAGGTTATTAATTATTATCTTTTTTTATTATCTTTTTTTTTTTTTTTTTTGGGATTTTGATATTAATTTTTTTTAATCATAATTTAATAGACGTTTGTTTATCTTCAATCTATAATCAATTATCGGAAGGCCATAAGAACTAACAATTCTCTTTTAAAAAAAGCTGCTAGGTGAATTTTTTCACCAATCTGGTCTGTGAGATGCCATCCTATCTATCGCCTCATAAAAGCTTTTGATGAAATTCAACTAATACGGCTTGATCTAGTAATACGTAATATTATAGAAAAAAGCTGTGTTATTTCCAGATCGGGTATTTTTGAACAACACCAAGGATTAGACGCAATCCTGAAAGAGGTAAACAAAACCTTAAAAACCTTAATACCTCCCATTCCACAACATCATCACTGGAAAATTGCCACGCGTAATTGTAAAAAGTTTATCAAGGTAATATTTTAATTAAATTAACTAACTATAGGTATAATTGTATTATTATTAATTAATATTAATTTTTAGCTTAAAAGCAATTTGTTTCAAGTAATCAGATACAATGATCGTCAAACATCTGGACCAAGAACTTGGCCGGAATCAACAGTAAAATGTCAAAGATTTCGGACTCATTTACGAAGCCTTGATTTTGTAAATCAAGATCTAGAAGAATATGATTTAAATAAAGATCTTGAAAATTTTATATCTTTGGCAAAAGAAGCACAAAAGAATTTCATTATTGAAGCATTTATTAACAAAAGTAATTTATCTTCATTTAGGCAAATACCTATCACAAATCAAGAAGCTAAAGCACAGGAACATAACGAAAACATGACTGTTCCTCAAATTTTATTAAAGATCGAAACGCTTCTTGAACTACTTGGTGAAGATTCTCGAAAAAAATATTCCAGATTAAGGTCGAAAAGAAAAGCAGAATTGTTGATTATTTTGCAAGAGGTAAAGCATTTATTTATTGCAAATAATGAAGTTAACCAATATTGTGATATTACAGAATAGAATGAATAAAATAAAGATCGTGCTCATTTGAAATAATACGGCAAGATTTGTAACATTTTTGCAATTTACTTGTGCTTTAAGTAATTTATGAATTGAAATCGAAGGGGTGAACTTCATAATTCTGTAATTAGTCATGTATTTTTTATTATTCTTAAATTGATCAAATTATCATTCTTAAATTGTAATTTTATTATTTATTTTTTTAATTAAAATAAATATAATACACCACAATTTATAAGTTATAAATTATTAAAATAATTTAATACAATTCAATAAAATTATTATATACTGATATCTATCGCTAAATACGATCATAGTTTTTTTTATCAAACGATGGAGCCATAATCACCCATAATACACGATAAGTTGCCCTAAGTACTAAAATATGAACCTCGAGTAAATGAAGTAAAGCCTATATATTTAAAAAAAATAATAATAATCATAAGCTTTATTACATTCTTATAGCTCTTAAAACACTAAAAACCTTATCTCAACCTACAAATTTCAAGATCCCGAATGTAGGCTACTTACCGAATGTTTCTTCAAGTCTAAGTCAAGCTTCGAGTGTTCATGATCTTTAATCTATTTTGACTTAATATTATTATGAAATTACAATTACTTCAACCGGTTAGCTACGTTTTCTGTATGTTAATTCTATAATTAAGGAACTTTTTTAACTTAAAAAACTTTCACTAAATAGATAAAGCGAATCTCTGAAATACCCAAAATACTTAAAGTTTTGTTGTTCGTTGCGAAGATCTGTAAATTATGAACGATGGTTAAAAAAATTTATGCAGTAATATGTAATACAATAATAAAAGTATTCTAGATATAAAAATTAACCAATCACAAAAAAGCTATCTTAGAGAGTCTGGAATTTTCCGATCATCATTTCTATACCATAAAAAGAGTGATCTGCATTGTTCTAATTTGGTATATCGTCAGACTGAATTTGTTAAGATGATTGAAAATTATTTGGATGATATATACAAACATAAAAATGAACATAACAAAGTGCATTGAGTAGGTATAAGTAAGAAAGATGATAATCTTGAAAAAGACAATAATCTTGATGAAGATGATGATCTTGATAAAGATGATGACCTTGATAAAGATGATAACCTTGACAAAGAAAATGTATACCCAAGTATTTTGCTTAAAAATCCCTTGGTAGTAGCCACTAAAGGTAGACCAAAATTGGCTAGTCATCATATAAATAATACAAATCAACAATTAGTGAATAAGAAAAAGAGAAAACATAATACTAGTCATAATACAAATCAGCAATCAACAAATAAGAAAGAATTAGGCCATAATATTACTAGATGTCCGAAAAAGACTATGAATTAAATGGTTTAGTAACTTGAATTGTACTGTATACGTATATAGCTGCTGCTTAACAATTTATGATATTTTAATTTGCAATACTGATAATATGCATGTATGTACTTGTATTAACATTATATACAATTTTAGTATTAGATATATATGTATATATGTATAACACTATATATGTGTAAGTCAAAATTTAAAGCGATATATCGATATTGATTAGTCTAAGTTAGAATAAGGTTATAGTAAAAGTTAGAGTTTAATTTAGACCAATCAATATTGATCAGTTAATGCTAGCCCAAAAAATCAATACTGTATAACATATACTGTATATATATTCTGTTATTATCTGTTATTGTATTAAATATGTATATAATGTTTTAATCACGTGAAAGGGTGCACTGCAATACAGGTGTATTAAATTTTAAAACCCAAGATTTAATATATGAGCTAAACAACAACGAGACTAAAAACCAAAATTATGCTCATGTAAAACAAGTTTTTTTTAAACAATTGTATATATTAGCATCTTTATCAGTAGTAGCACAAAGAATTTTAGTAGAAATATCAAAAGCTGCAAGAATAGAGTGCAATTTTTCATCAATATCTTTGCCAGTATGTGAATGAGGAAGCATATGAATATCAAATAAGATTTTTTTAAGTTTCCAGTTATTATCTATTCAATATGCCACAACACAAAAAAAGAGCATATTAGTATAAGAAGTCCATATGGAGTCTTTGCAGTAGAAAGGGACCATACTGCTTTATATACAATTTTGAGAAAATTGTGTTTGTTTTGTTCAGACTGATCCGGGTTAATCAAAAATTTTGTGATTTGATTGGCCAGTTATATTGGGTAATCCCATAATGTACGAAACTCCCAAAAAATTTTTTTAAAATAACTCAATTTTTTATTATGCAAATCAATTTCCATTTATAATTGAAAAATATAGCCTGTATCAAAATTTATTCAAATATAACAAAAACTAGATTTTCACTTTTTGGCAGTATCAGCCCTTTCTATTGTAATAGAAATTTTATTTAAAGCTTTTTGAAGAAGAGTTAGAATGTCTCTCTGCATTACAACAAATACATTTTGGATATTAGACTTTATAGTTTTATGTGAAGGTAAATCGATACTATTATTGAAAAAGGTAAAGTATCGGACACAATCTACTCAGCAATTAGTAAATTGAATTTAGTTTTTTGGGCTAATATTTTTGAAATTGTAATTTCAGGTGTAAAAGTAAGACTTTGTTGGCCTGTTTGCTTATCTGAATCCCAGCTCGGATGGTGAGTATTAAGGTGTTTGTGTAGTTATACTATACTAATTTTTACAGATACTACAAATTACTATTTTACCATCAAGAGTTTTTTGCAAAAAAATAGTCTAACAGAAGAGGGTTGAGATCTAGATTTTTTATTATTTAAAGTAACAGGGTTATCGGAGATATTAGATGCAATATTTATATCATTGCTTGTAGTAGCAATAGCCGTGATCATATTGCATCATAAGTGCTTGAAGAATGCTAGAGACTCAAAAGGAGAATTTTCACAGATGTTGATTTCAAAATTATTATTAGTATCCATTATGAAATTTATTTGTAGAAGTTAAGTATTAATTTTAGGTCAATTTTTTTTTTTAAAAAAAAAAATTGCATTTAAGCATACTCTATTTTATTTATTTATTTGTATAAATTACATTTTTATATAAAAAGTTCTAAAAGTCTAAAATGATTTTGCCCTCCTGGGATTTTTGTCCCATCTGGTGGGTAATTTTGCTTAGAAGTTTAATTTCAAAGTTTAGTTTGATTCTAATTATGTTTGTTATTGCATTTTGAGGGATGGTGTTTCCACCCCATTTGGCTTGTGTGTACCAGCACCATATTTCGTAGATGTAGAAGATGTGTAACCATGTTGCTGCCCTCGTTTTTTGTGATCCTTGATGTTAGTTGCTTGAAAAATATCCTCAAGTGTATAAGGTACTGTCTCATCTTTCGCTGTCATAAGAGCCACATATGCCATTTCCTAAATTGCTTTGCTTAGTGGGCACTTTAGAGCAAAATGTTCTAGAGTTTAAGTGTAGTATGGGCAATTAGAACAGTTATTGGGACCGTTTGGGATAATATGTATTAGTCGATATCCAAGAGGTAGGGCTCTGTGCATTAGACACCAGAACGTATCCTTTTTTTTGTTTGTGCTCTACTTGGATTTGATCCATTTGAACCTGGAAATGTTTTGAGTTAAGTCATGTTGAGGACCTGGTTGTTTGTATAGGCTCTTTAGGGCCTTCTGAACTGAATAATACTGACTTTCTAATGTCCCTATTTTAACTTCCTCTGGCTCTCAAAGCCAGGATTCGCTTGCTTCGATTCTGCCCTTAAATCTGTTCCAAGCTGTTAGGTAAGGCCTCCACCTTTCCGGCCATCCCTTCTTTTTGCATGTGTTTTGGTTTAATGCATTTTTTATCATAATCCCTCTTTTATATAAGATTTCCTCCAAAATTGTTTTTCTTTCTAATTTTGCCCAAAGCGATTTGCTGGATAGAAGCTTCAGCCAAATCAACATTAGCCTAGCATCAAGCATGTCTTTGATAATTGGGGCAGTTAAGCTACCTTTCTCATATTCGAGTTAGAATATCGAATATTGAGAAAGCATGCATGAGTTGTCTTTGATCCATTTTACAATGAGAGTCAATTACCTTGAGTTGTTTTCTTGATGGTGGAAGTAGGTATGCGAGGTACTATATTTTCGAGATCAAAAGTGCTTTAGCTGCAAGAATCTTTTCTTTAAATGATAAATTTCTCTTAGAGAGTTTTTTAATTTTCCTTTTGATTTTTTCTGTCATCTCTTGCCAGAAAGTGTTACAGGGGTTTCCTTTAATGTCTATGCAGTAACCCAGAATTGTGAAGTGCTCCTGATTATCAACTGGAGTCTTGAAATTGTGTTGTTTTGGGAGCTCGACTCTACTAGCATTGCTTGTGATCAGGATAAGGATTGATTTAGACTTATTGATAACTGCATTTGAGGCTTTTTCATATATGTCTAACATTTTCAATAAGGTTATCCAGTCTGAGGAGGAGCCAATCCTGATTGAAAGATCATCCACATATGTGGCAATCTTGAAGTTCCCACCATTACCTGGGATGCCATTGATATTCTGGGAGATGTTTTGTATTAGTGGATATGTAAAGGAGAGGGAAAAGTAGATCTTCTTGCCTTACTTCCCTCTCAACTTTGATTGGTTCTGAGATCTGGCTTGCATCAACTATATGTGCTATCTGATCAGAGAATAGGGTGCTGATGATTCTTGTGAACTTGTAGTCGAAGTTCATCCTCTCAAGAATGATTCATATAAAATTGTGATTTACCTTGTCGAAGGCTTTTTGCTAGTCAAGTAAAAGAAGCTAGTGTTGTTTTAACTGGTCATTTTGGTTTCTGAGAATCGTGAGTGTGTCTAGGGCTGAGTCTATGATGGACCTATTGGCAATAAAAGCTTGTTGTGTTGGGCCTATGATGTTATCACAAATTGGATTAATGTGGTTTGCTAGGATTTTCATGAAAATTTTAACATCTGTATTGACGAGTGAAATTGGCCTCCAATTGTTTATATTTTCTAATTCAGTGTTCTTTTTTGGTATTAAAATAATCAAACTTTTGGTCCATGATCTTGGGATCAGGCCAGTGTCAAGCACTACGTTGAATATTTTAACTAATAAAGGAGTGAAAATCTCCTGTGTCTTTGTAGAATTCATATGTAATACCATCTGAACCTGGTGCTTTATTGTTAGAGAGTTTGTTGATTGTCTGATTGATCTCCTCCACAGTAATAGGTCTAACTAATATAGAGTTTTGTTCAGTGGAAACCTGTCTTAGGTTCTCTGTAAGTTGGAGGGCTGCCTCCTTGTCTATCTCCTCGCTTTTGTATATTTCCTTTGATGAAGTTAAGGGTTTGCGTATGTGAGTTATTACTCAAGATGTTCAGATCTTGTATTTTGGAACAGCATGTGATAGAGTGTTTTTTTTTGTATAGAGTGAAGAAATATTTTGTCAATTTTTTCCTCTCTTCGATCCATTTGGCATTGGATCTAATTTGCCACCTTTCTGAGAGGAGAGTTAGCTCATTTTGTAGTTTAAGACTAAGGTCTTCAATTACTAGTTTGAGGTCTGTTAAGTTAGGATTTCGAGCTATTTTGTTGTTCAGAGCACAAAGTCTTTTATGAATTCTCTGAATTTTTTTTTCTGGTGATAGACCTGGCTTGTATAGTTTTACTATTAATTGTATTGTGCACTTGCATAGGTCCCAATCCGAGGTGTTCTGTGAGTTGAGAAGCTCCTCTATAATACTTGCTTATAGTTCTGGGATGTCCAATACTTCCTATCAAATCTCCATTGGGATTGTTTGATATGTGATGAGTTCAGGCTGAATTCCGTTTCCACTAGGAGGTGGTCTGAGTTTCTGAACTGAGTAAGCATGTTTTTGTATAAGTGGCTGTAACTTGCCTCAATAAATATATAGTCTAACCATATTGCCATTTTTTGCCCATTCTGGGTTGATTGATAGAATGTAAGAAAGGAATTTTCGTTGGAGGATAATGCTGTGTCCGTATAGTCAGCTAAGAGAGATTTCACTCTTTCTCTTGAACGGTCAGATTGTGGTAAAGCATTACTGATTCTGTTGGTTTGGGAGTTCAGGTTTGTATTGAAATCCCTAGCTATGATGCATATTTTATCCTCCATTGCAACTGGAGACCAGCCATCAAAGAAATGAGATCTATTCTCGTGTGCAGGATGTAATGGTTGCTGTTTAACTTCTGTAGAGACTGATATGATGCGACCATCTTGAGATTCTTTAATTTTTGTAAGTTCTATATTTCTTTTACTTGCCAGTATCGCAGTTTTTGAGAACCATACTGAGCTAAAGCCCCATTGTTGTGCCAAAAAGTTCCTTGTAGAGGTATCCTTAAGATTGGTTTCTTGAATTAGAATAATGTCCAAATTGTAAGATTTGAGAAGTGTAAGTGTTTTCTGAGCTTTAGGCCTGTTGTTCAAGCCCTTTACATTGAGTGTAGTGATTTTAAACATGAAAAAAGGTAATTGTTTGTGGCTATACTAAGAGGGGAGGTCTTAGTGTTAAGCTTTGGGCTTGGGTGTACTCTGATGGGTGTCTTTCAAGACCATTTGATTTTGTTCAGGGTGAGAGAGGTTCCTTCCTCTCTCAGTGCTTCTTTTCTTGTTCTTGTTTTTGTGTTTCCTGTGGGAAACAACTATGAAAGGTGTTTCCTGTTCTTTGTTATCTGTTACACTTGGCCGCTCTTGCTCTACTGATGATTCTGCTAATGGAGCATCTGATATAGATGTGTCTAGTTCTTTAATAGGTGAGATGTTTTCTATACTTTGTAATACTACATTTGTTCTGTTTGATTCTGTGTTAGTTATTATGACCTTTTTTTGGATGTGTCATCTTCTTTCGTATCTAGTAGCTCTTTAGCATAGGGGTTGTCTGAGCTAAACTCAAAGTCTGAAATAAGTGTTTTATGGACTGATATTTCTTTTTTTTTGGAGTTTAGCTTCTTTCAGTAGCTGTCTGGCTTCTATTGAAGCCTTGAATTCACTGAATTCTTTTTCAATATAGCCCTCTCTTTCGCATACTTTGGAAGCTTCTTTCCATTTTATTGTTACTTTGTGATCGCCCATATGGGTGCTTCTGGAAATTCTAGATTGTAGATCTGGGTCATCTGTTGTTTTGAAGGTGATGAGCCACTAGTCCATGCAAATTTTAGTTCCCTTGAACAGGAGTGGCTTTATTGTGGCAATTTGGCAAACATCTTGGAAAGCCTCAAGGATGAGATTTGTAGTGTGCTCCACCTTACCCAAAGGTGTGTTCTTAAGCTTTACAGTAAGAAATGAGCACTTGAAATTTACCGGAATGTAACTGAAGAATGTATGTTGGAATATAGAGATTCCTTCTAAAGTGTATTTCTGCACTTTTTCCTTGTTTTTGAAAACTAGTTCCAGGATGTTCTTCTCCTTCTAAATGAGTGGCTTTTGGCCGCTACAAGGTCCCCATTAAGTTTGAGTAACAGGGTTGCGATTATGTCATTAGTTGAGATGTTATAAAGACTGTGTATGTCAATAATTAGTGCATTCTCATTTTTTGAGAGGATTTTACTTCTAGTTGTTTGGTTTGTAAAGCTTGCTTTTCCTCCCTTAAGCTTTGTAAAGAGGTCTGACTACTGCTTCGGTTTGTCCTCTCTACCTAGGGATGTTTATGTGACATTGAGCTGAGACTGGCAAAGTTTTATCTGCCTTATCTTGCTTGATATCAGATTGATCTGTGCATTCGTCTGATTGGGCATTAATCACGTGACTTACATGCTCTTCCTTGTTTTTGTTGCTTTTTTGGTTCACATTTACCTGAGACACGTGACTTGCTGTGTTTACTTGTGCTTGTTGCATGTTGAGTTGGTTGTCTTTTTTGAACCTCTTTTCAGTGTTATTAGCTTTTGTTTCTTGATTTTTTATCTCTTCCTCTATTTGAATGGCCCAGCTAGTTGTAGTCTCAGTGTATTCAAGTTTTTTTGTTTTTTTTGTGTTTATTTTTGCTTGATAAGTTGGCAACTGATTCGTTTTCTTTGTTTTCTACCAAGTGAAAGATCTTGTCCTTGTTTACAATTTCTATCTAATGGGAAGAGCTTGTGTTTATTAGACCGGGAGGCCTTTTCCTCTTGTATGTTTCGAGAGAGAACTGTTGAGTTTTGCTTATGAATTTTTTTTTACTATGTATTCCAGTGGTAAACCAGAAAGAGTTTTTAATTTGGTTCTTAAGTCAATTTTGAATTTAGATGTTATATTTTAAGCTCTTTTATATTTATTAATCATATATTAGAAATTTATATTTAGGAATTAATTGTGCAGATTTTTAAGGCTATGTTAGTAGATTTTACTTTTAAAAAGAATTCTAATACTTTTATTTTATTTTCATGTAAGTTGTATGGTTACCTATACCAACTTTCAAAGAATGGATCAGCTAATTAAGCAGGTTTTACATGATCTTTCAAGCCAGTTATACTAGCTTAAAGGGCTCAGTTTCAAAACCATGGCTAAGAAGCTAGTTATGCTAGTTTAAAATAACTTAATTTCAAAACCATAACCAAGAATTTAGTATACTGCTTAAGGTGGCTCTGCTTCAAAACTATAGCTATGCTAGCTTGATCATCAGCTTATTCTTGAGTCAAGCTAAAATTGTGTGGCAATTCAACCAAGCTACTAAGATTTTAGCAATTTATGAGAAAAACAAAGGATTTAAGAGACAAGTTAATGGAGTGGAAATCTAATTAAGGTAATTACAATACAAAAAATATACTTGATACTGGCTTATACTATATGGAAAAATATGCAATAAAGTTCAAGAATTGCCAATCGCACAGATATACAAGCTGGTTATATATTAGTTTTTGATAGAAACATATAATTGCACTAACCATACTGCTTGCTAAGTAAAATTAAAATAGTTTTTTTATATTTTAAATAAAGACATATAATTATTAACAAGAAAATTAAAAATTTTTTTTTTATTTATTGAAAGTAATTCTATTTTATATTACATTTATATATATTATTATAAATGACACATTTCTATCTCTATATTATATCAAACAATTTCACCTATTTAACTATCAGCTATTTAACCAAACCTATATTCACCTAATAAATTAATCTCAAAAAATAAGTAAAGGTGCAGACATATTACTAGAACTTAACAAATTACAGCAAAAAATATTTAAAAATAAGTACAGTCAAACCTCCCTAAATGCAACCTCCATAAATGCAAGACCTCTCTAAATGCACGGCCTTGCTGTGGCTCTACAATATATATACTTATAGATTTTTACCCCCTAAATGCAATACCTCTCTAAATGCAAGATTTTTGTGGTCTGTATGCAGTGCACTTACAAAGGGTTGACTATATTAAGTGTTATTAAATTTTTAATTTAAATGAATTTGTAAAGCTCTCTTCAATATTAAAACTAAAACATGATCACCTTTTCTAGCTGAATATTATCAGTATTTAATACACCATGTAGCTAACAAATACAGTAAAACCTCTAAGTCACACACTTGGGGTCAAGCTTTAACAACATGCACTTAGAAATCAATAAGAGAATATGCATTTATAGGGAGTAAGTATATATTTAGGCCAGAACTTGAGTATGGGTATGTACCTATAGAGGGTGCAATAAAGGTTTTACTGTAGAATAAAGCAAATTTTAATTTAAAGTGCCAGACAATAAATTAAATACATGGATATTATTGGCTAATTGGTTATCAGCTCACGGCTCATATATAGCTTCAAATTTTAAGCTGAGCCATTTTTAAAGCCAATGCTTTATTAGGAAATGTGTAGCCAAGCCGATAATTGGCTCAGCTTAGCTGTTTGGCTCATGGTTTGGCTCAAGCTGTTTGTATCACTACCTGGCATGGGCTATAATAGTGCTTTCATAGGTTGTTTTTTTTTCTGCCTTTTTCTTTTTGTTCCATTTGTTTTTTTTTCATTTTTTCTTTTCCCCTTTTATTTTGTTCTCTTTATCTTTTTTTGTGTTAGTTTCTTTTTTTCATAAGTCAGTTAAAAACTATAAATCCTTTTGCTTGACAATCTTGATAGACCATAAATACTATTCAGTAATATATGTTTGCGGGGTTTCTTTGATATTGACAAATTTTATTTTATCTATAAGTTGAATATTGTAATCTAGAGGTGTGGCAGTTTAGTGTTGTTACCCTCTCCAAATGGTAATGGCTAGGTCCTATGTTCGAACCCCAGAGATGATGTTTTTAAGCGAAATGGAACATGTTAGGTGACAATCTTTATTAAGGTTGGCCTATGGAGGATCTGGTGATCTGGTATTTAGTGGCACTAGTGAGGTGACTGTAATTTGTACTACAGAACCAGAGATGGAAGCCTGTTTAGGAAGTCCCAAGTAAAATATAGCAGTGATCTTTGACTGTACTACAGGAAAGCTGAATTTGAACTGGGCCCAAAATTGGAAAGCTGAGCAACCAGGTCCTTTAGTAGGGAGACACACTAGCCAAACTGCTGGTTTAGATGCGCTGGAGGAAAAGATCATATGCTTCAAAAGTATGGACCAAGGAGAGGGCATCCTTCAGGCACCTAAAGCCTGGGCAGTAGGGTAGGGTGCACACAAAATTATTTGAGCATGCCTATAAGGGCATGCTCTTGGCTGAGACATGCTCCTTATTGTGCTCAGGGCATGCCCCTCTATATAAAATACTACTATAAGTGAATAGCATGCTGTCCAATCAGATGCATGAATTTGAGACTCTAAAACCCACTTAAAGAAATCTGTTAAATATAGCAAGCATTATACCTCAATTTGTATGCTGGAGTTACAAGTTTCTTTTGCTTCAGATTTATATGTGTTTACTAGTAAACCCTAGGTATGCTTTGGTCTTTAGAATCCGAACGATTTTGTTCTTTAGGACTTGAAAGTGGTATGTACTTATGTACAGTATGTTCATTATTTGTTGCATTTGATAACAGCCAATCAGAGCGTTGCTTAACACATGATTATGAATAGATAATCAGATAACGAGGGCATGCCTTTTGGTTTAAAGACATGCCCCCATAGGCATGCCCTGGGTCACTATGCCCTCTACTCTACTGGGCAGACCAACCCTTCCAAGTTGCTGGCTGGAAGTAAGGGAGAGACCAATAAAGAATCTGGGTAAAAAGATAACTGAAATGTGAGTACTGGGGTCGTTGTGAACCTTACAAGGGCAGAAGTACATAATGGAAGACTAATTAGGAAGGTTGTGCTTGAGATACGGATTGTGTTATAGCAGCACCCCAAAAGGTGGCATGAGATACGAACACAATGGCAGCAAACAATATATACTAATTGGGAAGAAATTACCAAATATGCAGGTGAGTGCATGTGTGGAACATGCACCATTCTGATGCCTTCTGTTGTTGGCTAAAGTCTTAGGGTCTTAAACGGTAAATTGCTCTCTATATGGAGGTATATTAGAAGGAAACATGTGATGTCGGTTGAAGCCAGAGAGTTTAAATAGATAGCTTCCTAGTTAGGCTATAGGTATAACAGCTAGTGTAGAACCCCTAGCATAGCACTAACACTTCGGGCAGACTATTTAATTAGACAATCAAAAGTTGTATGTGTGACTAGTTGTACTCTCATGATACTGATATAATATGTAAAGCCAGTGTTAAATTAATAATACAGTATCAGCCTACCCCTTGAACTAATAAAGTGCCAAGGACCTAAGTGGTCACCTTGATATTAAAAAAAAATATTGTAATCTAATAAAGTATTAGCAAGATTGCCAAATATTAAAAAAAAAAAAAAAAAAGTAAAATTATTATAAAATTATTATAAGGTACAATTTTAATAATTGTATTAATATTTTTCAGATTATCTTAACTCT